CACTGAGGCTCCTGTTGGGAGCCACAACTCCTAACAGAAGGCAAAGTAAGTGTTACCTGAAAATGGGAAAAACGCTGGCTAGGAGCAAGGCCCCAGCTAAAGCAGCCGGCTGTGCTGGAGGCAAAGCCCCATGGATCCCATTGATGGGCCCCCTTTGATCTCTAGGAGTATGTGCATAAGACAGAAAGTACCCCTTTCTGATGAAGCATTAACTGATAAGCGAGGATGATGTATTGGTGAAACTGAAGTTTGAGACATGAATAAGGAACACAGCAAAAGCACAGCCATTAGAGACGCTAGAGAATGTTTAGTTACCTTCATCTCTATAAAAAGCAAAACCATTGTGTATAAAGAAAATAAAAGAACTTTCCCATTCTTTATTTTTAGTGGTTAACAGACCCTATACTAAATTAACACCTTAGATGGGTAAGATGGAGGAGGAAGTTTGTGAGACCGGAGACAAGTCAATCCTGAGGGCAGCTGCTTTTAAGCATAATTTAAGAAAGTATAGACATAATAGATATAAGTTTATAAGAGTAAAATGATCTAGTAGTATAAGTATAATAATATAGGAGAGAATAGTTAAGTAGATAAAAATAGAATAATGATTAAAGATAATTAGATAAAAAATAATTAAACAGAAAACAAATATAGGATATAACAGTAGTCAAGTATAATTCATATAAAGGTTGTTAAGCATTATTAGATTATGATTCATATAAGTAAAATAAGAATAAAGATAGATACATAATAGAAAAGTTTATAGAAAATAATTAAAAATAATAAAATTAGTTATAAGAAACAATAAAATTAGTTGTAGATGTAAACGCCAATATATTGCTGTTAAGTTACATGTAAGAATTGTTAGAAATATGATATAAAAGGGGTAAGGGTTGAAAGGTTACAGTTAATTATTATTTTTATTTATTTATTTATTTTTGAGTTGGAGTCTCACTCTGTCGCCCAGACTGGAGTGCAGTGGCCGCTCCCGGCCACCGCAGCCTCGACCTGCTGGGCTCCGGCGATCCTTCCGCCTCAGCCTTCCAAGGAGCTGGAATTACAGGCATGCACTACCACGCCCAGCTGATTTTTTGATTTATTGTAGAGATGAGGTCTCGCTGCCCAGGCGGGTCTCGAACCCACGGGCTCAGGCAATCCACTCACCTCAGCCTCCCAAAGACGCGGGATTACAGGCTGAGCCACCGAGCCCGGCTACAGTTAATTATTTTTAACAAAAATTGTTTCATTCCTGTCTCTTGGTTTTAACATAATGGAAACAAAAAAAGAATAGGGAGGAACAAATAAATCATTGTAGAACGTTTGATTATAAAAGAAAACATAATGTAAGCTTTTGTGGGCATATGTGTGAGGGGGTTGAGGGTTGAAAATGCCTTATATAAACATGTGAAAATTGAATAAACTTTGGAAGAGTCCTGAACTCGACCCAGGGAGTTGACTTGTGTCTTCTTCGCCGTGTCTGATTCTCTCGCCTTAGGCCCTAACCCTTGTGTTGGAGCTGGACTCTAACAGGCTCCAAAAGATTAAATAACTTGCCAAGGTCTTACAGATATAACAGACAGATCCTGGATTCACGCCCAAATCTTTCAGAAGTCAAAGCCTTTACTCTTAAAGGATAAACCTGTGGTCCTCAATGCCTAGTCTGAGGACTCCAAAGGTTCCTGGGAAAGACCTTTCTAGGGGCTTTTCCAACCACATATCCACCTGAGGCCACATCTTCCCATACTTCAATCAAAAAAAAACATTGCAACAGATTGAATGCAGAGGCACAGATGAAGTTTCATTTGTCATTTTTTAAAAGCCAGCCATTATTAATTTTCTAAATTTTATTTTATTTTATTATAATGATGTGGGGTACATGTCAGGATTAGGCACATAAGTAATGTATGTGCAGGTGAAGTTTGGGCCTCCAAATGGTCCTCACTTCCCCTGATTTAGGATCAGGTACCCTTTGTGTTGTTACATACCCTCTCCTCCTCCTTCCCCTGGCAGTGTCTCACAACTGCTGATCCCTCCCTTATGCTTTTGTGATAAGTGTTCAGATCCCACTTAGGAGTGAGAACATGTGGTATTCAGTTCTTTGTTTCTGAGATAGATTGCTAAGAATGATTGTCTCCAATTCCATATAATTTGCTGAGAAGTGCGTGATTTTGTCCTTCTTTATGGCTGTGTAAATGTACCACATTTTCTTTATCCAGTCTACTTTCGATGGGCACAAGGGTTGGTTCCATGTTTTTGCTATTGTGACTAGTGTGCAGATATCTTTTTTGTAGAATGATTTGTGTTCTTTCAGGTATATTCCCAGGAGGGGAATTGCTGGATCAAATGGAAGGTCAATTTCTAGTTCTTTTATATATTACCACACTGTTTTCCATAGTGGTTGGACTAGTTTGCACTCCCACTCATAGTGTAGAGGCATTTCCTTTTCTCCACACCTGCGTCAGCATCTACTGTTTTTTGATTTATTAATGATGGCCATCCTTACTGGGGCAAGGTGGTATCTTAGTGTGGTTTTGATTTGTATTTCTCTGATGATTACTGAGGCTGAGCATTTTTTCATGTATCTGTTGCCTGTTTGTATGTCTTCTTTTGAGAAGTGTCTATTCATGTCCTCTGCCCTTTTTTTTTTTTTGAGTTGGAGTCTCACTCTGTCGCCCAGCCTTCCAGGTAGCTGGAACTACAGGTGCGCACTACCACGCCCGGCTAGTTTTTGATTTATTGTAGAGATGAGGTCTCGCCAAGTTGCCCAGGCGGGTCACGAACCCGCGGGCTCAGGTGCCCATTTTTTAATAGGGCCATTTCTTTTTTCCTTTTGGCTTGTTTGAGTTCCTTGTAGATCCTGGATATTTGGCCTTTGTCAGATACACAGTTAGTAAATATTCTTTCCCAGCGGGCTCAGGTGCCCATTTTTTAATAGGGCCATTTCTATTTTCCTTTTGACTTGTTTGAGTTTCTTGTAGATCCTGGATATTTGGCCTTTGTCAGATACACAGGTAGTAAATATTCTTTCCCAGTCTGTGGGTTGTCTTCCAACTCTCTTGATGGTTTCTTTTGCTGTGCAAAAGTAAAGGCAGACAGTTAAGAGATTTTTTAAATTGCAACAAAAAAAAAGCACCTCTTCTCACTAAATGTTTCATTATGGAAAATATAATTGTATATCCTAAAAATCTGTTATGTTAGCATATAATAAATTTATTTCAAGTTGAGTGTCCCTAATCTGAAAATCCCAAATCTGAAACTTTTTGAGTAAATGCTCATTGGATTTTGGTTTTTGGATGATGGATGCTCAGCTATTGAGAATAATGTAAATACTCCAAAATTTGAAAAGATCTGAAATCCAAAACATTTCTGATCCCAATCATTTTAGATAAGGGGTACTCAACCTGCATTTTAAAAAATAATTTAATGCGTACATACATTTAAAATTCTTAGCTATAATTTCTAGTTTGTTAAATATGGATATATGCAATTTTATATTTATATCCACATTTAGCTAGATCCACGCGCAGTTACCGGAATGATCTGTCCCACAGAAATTGATTTCACTGCACTTTTACTATCAAAGCAATTGCCTTGTTGCAGTGAAAAGATTTCTTGATCCTTTGATGCTAAAGGCTTCTTTCTCGATGCACATCAAGGATCTAAACATACATGGTGCTTTGTGGACTGTGTTGTATCATGTAACACAGATCAAACCCATGTGTTCCAGTGGTAAAAAAAGAAGAAACACGGAAAAGGAGCAACACGAAATATTAGTGGTTGGAGGAAGTCATCATGGTCTTGGTGCATCGTGGGAGTGTTAGATCTGATGATACAGCCACATTTAGCAATAGGAATTATCAGGTTACCTAAATCAAAAAATCTGATTGCCTACCAAGGATTCAAAAGCTACCTCTGGCCACTTCTTAGTGGTGTGAAATCAGACAAGCTACTTAGCCTCTTAAAGCCTCAGTTTGTAAAATGGGGATAATATTATTTATCCTACCGGGGAGTTTTGAAGATTTAAGGGAATACTCTGTGAGCATGATATAAAGCCTAGCACAGTGCTGGGCACATGGTGAATGCTCCTGAATGTTCGCTATGATTATTGTTATTATTTGTTAAGCCTAGGCACCCTGCCCTAAACACTACAGTTAAGCCTAATGCCTCCCAGGGACTAATGAAGTTGAAGGCTGGATGGGACCAGAGAAGCTAGCAAGAAGAGAAGGAAGAGGAGAAGGAGGAGAGGGAGGAGGAGGAGCACCGCAAGCAAATCTGCTCACCAAAGCCCCACTCTTTAAATGGCGCCAGAGATAAGCTCCCTTAAATGGCACTGGGAAAATAGACTTTAAAAAGAATGCAGTGGCAGAGAGATAGCTCTCTTTGTCAGACCCAGTGAAAGACTGAGGACAGAAGAAAGAGTGGCGAAGAACCAAATTCCTAAACACAGAAGCAGGCTCAGCTGAGGGCACTGCAGAAACATTGAGAAATGCAGCAGCTGGGCTCGGTGGCTCAGCCTGTAATCCCGCTCTTTGGGAGGCTGAGGTGAGTGGATTGCCTGAGCCCGTCGGTTCGAGACCCGCCTGGGCAGTTTGGCGAGACCTCATCTCTACAATAAATCAAAATTCAGCCGGGCGTGGTAGCGCGCACCTGTAGTTCCAGCTACTGGGAAGGCTGAGGTGGAAGGATCACCGGAGCCCAGCAAGTCGAGGCTGCGGTGGCCGGGAGCGGCCACTGCACTCCAGTCTGGGCGACAGAGTGAGACTCCAACTCAACAACAACAACAAAAAAAAAGCGAAATGCAGCGATCCTCAGAGCGGTCTCGGGACCTCTCTAAATCCAAACGTTCACAAGGACCCCTGTGAGTTTTTGTTTATAAAGTTGCATAGAGAGAGAGAGCGTGGAATGAAATCCTCACTAGAACGGTGAGCTGAGGTATGACACACCCTGTTAATGTTAATGACGTGTCTTTAGTAGCTGTAGTGTCCTGAATTTTCCCACAGTTCTGAGAAAAAGTACAGCTCCGGCACTGGGTGGCCTTCGTTTTCTGAGGCTCATGGTACGTCTGGCTCTGATGAAAGTCATACAGGGATCCTGCGACGTCTGGACACCGCATTAGGATTGGCTCGCACAGAGGTCGTCTGCAAGCAGGTGGGTTTTTTGTTTGTTTTGCTTCCCCTGATATTGCCCCAACTGCCATAAAGACATCTCTTGTCCTTGGCATATCTGGTGTCCTTCTGTGAGGGTATTTTTGTCATCAGAACACATTGAATTTTGACTTGTGCCAATAATGATTCCCTCTCTCCCATCATTCTGGGCACTGCGGATTAAAAAAAATGGCTTCCCCAGCCCCTCTCTGAAGTAACCTTGCCTGGGTCTAGTCTTCCACAGAGCTAGGATCAGAGGCAGCATCTGAAGGAAAGAGTCTGCCCTTCACATCTTTTTGAGCAGGGACAGACAGCAGGCAGGCCCAGCACGAGGAGTCTCTTCGCCCTCCTTCTCCTTCTGCAATGTGTCACCGGTAGGCAGAACTGTGTTGCAGGTGATGCCAGCATGCTATGCCTTCGGTGATCCTGGTAGGAGAGAGTGGCTGAAATCCAGACTGAAAATTCATTTTTATATCCTTGGGTGCTCAAATTTTCTGACTTACAGGATTTGCAAACTGATAAAGATAGTTTAGCTTTGCCTTCAATAACAAGTAGTAATAATACGGCATTAATCAGTACTTGCTCAGGAATTGTGTTAATGCTTTATATGTATCACAGCAATTAATTGTCCCAACAGCTCTCTTATGTAAGTGCAATAATTATCCCCATTTTGTAGATGAGTAAGTCAAGGCCTAAATGTAATAACTTGCTTACATTCTACTGATAAAGTAAAACTATTTACCACGATTGTGCTCTGCATTTTTTCTTTCTTAGTTGAATTCTATGTAACAGACCTCTCCCTACACAAATGTCAGACTCTGGAGTGGGGTAGTTATATTGGGCGCATCCATCTGGTTATAGGTAAAAAGCTTTGTTTTCTTTGGGAAATGACGGAGGCTTCTCTCCTTTGCAGTGTGAAGCCCATCTTGGCCACGTGTTTCCTGATGGACCCGGGCCCACTGGTCAGAGGTTTTGCATCAACAGTGTGGCTTTGAAGTTCAAACCCAGAAAACACTGACCCTCTCCAGGAGTCCCTGTCTCTTGCCACCCTTCATTTGTACCCTCAATTTCCATAGTTCAGCTGAATGAATTGTTGTATTTAGTATAAGACTGGGCTGAGTTTGCTGCTGCATCCAGCGAGTCATGGCTTCTCTTAATTTATCTGCCCAGAATCAAGCAACCCTACCTCAACCCCGAGCGCTTGGACAGTGGAACTTCATAAAATGATAGAAGGGCAGCCATTTCCATCGAACTGACTTCCGTAGGCTTTGGCTGGGACCACGGGGTATGACTCTTTGGGGACATTAGAGGGCTGATGGGCTAGAGAGCAAAAGATTTCTACAAAAATTCCCTGTGCTTTTCACTGTCATTCAATCCTTCACACACATACATAGGTAAGGGGTGGAGTGAAAAGTGGAGGTGAAAATATGGAGTCCAAGGAATCAACAATCCCAGCATTGACCAGTAGGGCTGTGGAGAGCTGCACTCTGGGAGGCATTTATGGTGAGCGATGAAATGCAGCATCCTTTTTTCAAAATTTTGAATGTTTTGAACATTCTCCTTCCAACCTTTCTACCCACAAATAAACTGCAATGGGAGTTTGTTAGATTTCAGTGAGTATGAATAAACGTTCACTCGTATCTTCTGGCTACAAAGCTAAAGTTTAACATGTTAAATATTTACTAAAATTCATGTTTGTTTTTTGTCTAAGTCAATGAATGTGCCCTTTTATAAAAATGATTTCAGGTCAAAACAACAAAAAAAGATCAAAGGGTAGCAGACATTTAGTGATACCAAAACTAATAGCAACTCAAGTACTAGGGGAGACCCCCAAAAACTCGGAATTATTTTTGGAGGGCAGGCCCCTTGTAGTACCAGCTTTCCCTACCAGGTAAGTGTATTTACAGGTGCACCTGAACACACCACAGTGTTCAGCAGTGTTTGACCAAAAACGCCATGACCCCAGTGCCCTACTCTCTCTATTCTCACCGTTTCTCCCCAAGCAATTTTTTTTTGTTTGTTTCCCTGGATGAAAAAAGACGTCAAAGGGAAACATTTTGCCAATATGGAAGAGGTAAACCAAAAACATCAGAAGGACTAAAAGGTATCAAAATTGACGAGTTCAAAAACTGTTTTGAGTAGTGGAAAAAGCATCTTGAGAGGTGTATTGCATCAAACTGAGAGTACTTAGAAAGTGACTGAAGTTTAAACATTTAAGAATAAATACACAATTTCGTATAAATAAATTCTGTTTTGGGGGGGTTCCGCCTCATATTTTACAAATTGAGAGTCGAGTAACTTGTTACTGAAAGTATTTAAATCATTCGTTTTGTGACTTTGTTGGCAGAAAGAAGCATAATTATTTCATTTTGTCTCTTTATTAACTTGCTATATGTCATTTTACTTTTTTTGTAGTGGCTACCCTGGAAATGACAACATACTTCCCCAACTTGTTATCATCATATGCAAATCATCACTTATTTCAGCTTCTCCAAGAATGCTCACCTTAGAACACTTTAGCTCCATTAACAGTCTCCATATTTTGTTTCACTCTTTCATTTTATGCATATCTTAAGGCCCCCAAATCATCATTAATAATGTATATAGTTGATATTCATTCATTCAACCTTATTTACATATGTGTCCCCTTTTTTTACTCTTTATTTCTTCCTGCAATTCCACATTTCCCTGGGGGATTACTTTTCTTCTTTCAGAAGAGTTTTTTAATTTTTCATTCTAGCTCATGTTTCCTAATGATAAATTTTTTCAGCTTTTGTTTAATAAATGTATTTATTATCTTTTCATTCTTGAAGAATCTTTTCCCTGAGTATAGAATTTTAATTTGAAGAATTACAATTTTTTCCCCTTACAGATAGCCAATTACCTCAGTACCATGTGTTGAAGACTTTCTTGGAATTTTCTTGACATTTTAACCAAAAATTAATTTTCACAGAAGTGTAAGTCTATTTCTGGACTCCATTCTGTTCCGTTGATATATCTTTCTTATAACACTTTTACCAAATTGTATTGATTTTCTGTTGCTTTAGAGCAAGTCTTGAAATCAGGTTGTCTTGAGTTTTCCAACTTGGTTATTTTTTTCAAAATTGTTTTGGCTATGCTAATTCCTTTGCATTTCCATATAAATTTTAGAATTAGCTTGTAATTTTTTCTGTAAAAACTCTTGCTGAGGTTTTGATTTATTGCATTGAATTGACATCTTAGTAATATTGAGTCATCCAATCTATGAACCTAGTCTATTTCTCCATTTATATAAGACCTCTTTAATTTAAAAAAAAATTATAGTTTTCCTTGTGTGATTCTTGCACATATTTTGTTAAATCAGTGCTGAAGTAGTAATTGAGTCGTTATTTATATTTTCTTTTTTTTTTTTTTTTGCCATATGCAGAAGTAACAATTTTTGTGTTTTGGACATGTATCCTACAACTTTGCTAAATAGACTTTTATTAGTCCTATTAGTTTTTTTTCTGGATTCCTTAGAGTTTTCTGCATACATCATGTTGTTTGCAAATAGGGCAGTTTTTTTTTTTCCTTCTAATCTGCCTTTTTCTTTTCCCTGCCTTATTCACTATCTGGGTGTTACAGTACAAAGTTAAATTAACATAGTGAGAATGGATATCTTTGCTTTGCTTTTTTTGTGATTTTACATAGAAAACATTAAATCTTTTAATATTTACTAGTTTGATGTTAGCAGCATATTTTTTATAGATAACCTTAGTTAGATGAGGAAGACTCTTCCTATTCCTGATTGCTGAGAGATTTTTATCATGAAAGTGTTGATTTTTATCACTTTGTCTGCATCTGTTGAAATAACTATATAGTTCACCTGTATTCTATTAGTATGGTAACTTACACTGATTTTCTAATGTTAAATCAACCTTGCATTCTGAGATAAGCCCCACTTGGATATGATATATAGTATCCTTTATACATATTACTGGTTCTTATTTGCTAGTATTTTAAGAATTTTGCATATGTGTTCATGAGTGATATTGCTCTGTAGTTCTTTTTTCTTGTGACATCTTTGACTTTGTAATCAAAGTAATGTTAACTTCTTAAAATGGGCTGAGACATGTTCCCTTCTCTTCTATTTTTTTGAAAAAGTTTATGTAAGATCGATATTATTTCTTCCTTAAATGTTTGGTAGAATTCCCTAGTGAAGCCATCTATATCTGGAGTTTTTTATGTGGGAAAGTTTTAAATTATGAATTCAGTTTCCTTAATTTATATAGGACTGTCAAGTTTTCTTAAGGCAGTTTTGGTAAATTTTGTTTTTTAGGTAGTATTTTTATCTAGATTGTCAAACTTATTGGCATAAAATCATTCACAGTATTTCATTTTATTTTTAACATTTTAAGGATGAGTAGTAAAGCTCCTTTTATTCCTAGTTCTGGTTGTGTCTTCCGTTTTCTTGATTATTCTGGCTAGAGTTTATCAGTTTTATGGGTTTATTTTCAAAAAGTGGGTTTTGGTTTTATTGCTTTTCTTTGTTGATTTTTTGTTTTCTATCTTATTGATTTTTACCCTTTCTTTCCTTCCTTTTGTTTTCTTTGAGCATAATTTACACTTCTTTTTGCAAGTTCTGAAGGTGGATCATTGAGTTTTAGACTTTTCTTCTTTTCCCACATAGGCATTTAAAGTTACACATTTCCAGCCGGGCTCGGTGGCTCAGCCTGTAATCCCACGCCTTTGGGAGGCTGAGGTGAGTGGATTGCCTGAGCCCGCGAGTTCGAGACCCTCCTGGGCAGCGAGACCTCATCTCAATAAATAAAAAAAATCAGCCGGGCGTGGTAGCGCATGGCTGTAATTTCGGCTACTTGGAAGACTGAGACAGAAGGATCGCTGAAGCCCAGCAGGTCGAGGCTGTGGTGGCTGTAAGCGGCCACGGCACTCTAGTCTGGGCGACAGAATGAGACTCCAACTCAAAAAAAAAAAAAAAAAAAAAAT